CTTTTCAGAGGACCCCAAAAGCGGAATGTTTTTTTTCAACCATTGACATTGCATCATCAAAGAGAACAAACCATTTTCAATGATTTGTAATAAAAACAAACAAAAAAAAAACCATGCGGACTGATCAATATGATAGATTTCTGAAAAAAATATATAAATTTACCAAATTATGACGTTGATTTTGACCTGGCCCCAGTGATACGTTTTGTTATTGTTATGATATTGCCTTAAAAGCGAATCAGCAATTCCTAGAGTCTTCAATTAACCTAACATACATTTTATGTTTGGATGAAGAAACCGCAGTACCCAGAGAGAACGCAGCATTTCCACAGGACCCCTCATGAATGTGAATGAATTCCGTCACATCAGGTAAACAAACATGGCAAAATAGGCAGGGACAGAATCACTTCAAATGACGTCCCTCAGCACCGCTTATATGTTGACATCGAGATACTAAGGGACACAGCTTACAAGAAATGAATAAGCGAAACAGGTTGGGGGTATCCACTCCAAGAGAGATGTGTAACTGGTGGAGAAGCACGACTCATTGCACCAGGTGATGCCAAAAGGGAGGCCTTTGGGAGACCATCAGGGAGCAGCTCCCTTGGTACAGAATGAGTAATGCAATTTTCATTTGAATAATGGTGCGGATGCCACACATTCGTGTAAGGTAGATTTTTTTTTGGGGGGGGTTGTTGTTGTTATTGGCTCATACAACCCAGCAGCACCTGTGAGCTATTCAAGGTTCATCTCCAGGTCCGCAATTACTCTCAGCCTGGCAGAGAAATGTCCGTTTAGAGATAATCCCCTTCAAAGTGGTTCATGAATTAAAAATAGCACAGGATCACATCTGATCTGAAAATGTTGATTTGCAATGCTTGGCCTCACACATTACGTGCTTAACAAATTCATTATTTACCATCTATGTTTTTTTTTACCCTATGTACACCACCTGAAAAGAAAACGAGAAGAGACTATCCAGCGCCATGAAGTGCTTTAATGCCGACTATTTCAATATAAGTGAGTTTATAGCAATTTACCATTTTGAGCAGGAATGAGGATAACAAAACATACTCCACTTTTTTTTGGAACCAATTCCGAGGCAGCTCAACGGACTTCTGCAGTTAGAAATTAAATAAAGCAGAGCAGTCAACCCATCCATTCCTTTTTTTTTTTTTTTTTTTATTGTCCTCATTACGGTTGCAGGTGTCCTGGAGATTATTCACGGCAGGCATTAGGCAAGAGGCAGCGTATAAGCTTTCTTGTGCGTGTACAAAAACAACCATTCATGCCCACATTCACACCCATGGACGATTTAGGGTCTTCATTGAACCCAACATGTTTTTGAATGTGTGTTAACTAATTCTGTCCACTTTTTCTTAACCAAGTGCATTTAAAAATTATTGGAGAACAATAATACATTTTCACTTCAACAACTTTTACATACCGGTGGCATTACCTAACAGAAGTTACGAAGAGCAGCTATGGCATTAACCTTGCACTGACTTGTGGTCTCATATCTTTTGATGTACTGTACAAACACACATACATCATTTTGATTTTCTATTTCTCTGGATGGATTTTTGACGACAAAATTTCTTACTCCATTCTCATCTTTCTCACTCTTCATTTTCAAAGGGTGCTGACGTAAACCAGTAATAACAGAGTAATGAATTTACAAGGAGGCGAAATCCCCCAGCAAGACTTGAGGCCCAGAACAATAATGAGCACATAGCAAACAGAATATTTGCCGCAAGCCAAAAGAGAATGCACACACAACGCACGCTGACGCAACGGAAAGCGCGCAAGCCCGACATGCCTACACTACACGCTCAACGCGCACACTGGCACAGGGAAGATGGCGGAATCTTCCCAAAGCTTGTGTAACAACACATGTTTGCAGGTAATTAAAAAAAAGATCCCAGGTGGTTCTCCTATCATATTGAGATGCACCAAGCAAATTACCAGCCTCGCTTTCGACGTACAATGTGAGGGTACATGACGTGTTGTCTTGGTGAGCTGCTGCTAATGTTGTAATCTGGATCTCCCATGTGACAAATTATATTACCGGTATGTAATATTTCCGGTATGTAATAGTTACCATTATTCATCCATTTATTGCCTTTTTTTGGCAGACACTGTGGTCAGTCCAGGGTGCACCTCACCTCTCACCCTAAGTCTGGCAACTCACTTGTGTTCCTAACAAAGACAAGCGCTTTAGAAAATAATGAAGATTGTTATTATTGTAATTATTATGTGTTTTGTATTAGGCCATGGTAACCAACTTGAGTAATTTCATTGTAAATTCCAATCTAACTAATAACCTAACCAATGCTCCCTGCTGTGTGTTGTGTGTGTGTGGTTTTTTTTCAAACACAGACCTGTTTACAAACTGAAGTTTACAGTACCCGTCTGTTGTCCCTTCCAAGTTACATTAACTGGAAGTGTTGCATTTTCCTTTCAAAGACTTGAAAAAAATATAATAACAACAAGACAAAAAGTCCTCATGTCACTTAGGGAGTAGCATAATTTACTGGATTCAAGGACAAAATAATTCTGCCCGATCATGAACTTTTTGGACCTTTGGTATTACTGGCAAGTTCCGTCCTTTTATGTTGTGCTGTTATCTACTGTGGTTTCCCTCTACTTTTAATTGTCTAGTTTATACTGACTTGCGTATATACAATACAATACATCCTGATTTATATAGCGCTTTCACAACAGCTGCAGCTGTATATGTGTGCTTCCCTACAGGTTTATCCTCTTGCAGTCGTTCAGGATGCAATGATGGTGTCTCCACATTAATTTCTCCCATGCGGCTTTGTGTGTGTGTGTGTGTGTGTGTGTGTGTGTGTGTGTGTGTGTGTGTGTGTGTGTGTGTGTGTGTGTGTGTGGTATTTAGACTACCTTGAGCTATTCGTGGTTTTCATCATGTCATCGTTTGCTTGACTAGTAGAAGGATCTTCTGTTGTTATATCCAAAAAGACATTTGCCCCTTGGTTGGACACAAAAAAGCTGCTGTGCATGTGGCTCATTGGAAGGAAATGTTTGTTGAGAGTGTCCTGCCATCATCTGTCTGATCTGACTTGTGCTCACCTTTGTCTTGTGCAAAGGTAAACATATTTCTTTTTGATCAAAAGAAATGAACAAAAGTAACATATGTAATAAGTATTACACGAGGATGGCATTGTTCTAAAATGTGATTTATGATTTTGAGGACTTATATAAATAAAATGGACTAGTTGCATAGTCAGGACTCCTTCAGGAATTTTGGGGGATGGTGGATGGAAACTATTTTGTTTGAACTGGAACTTTTCTATGGAACGTTTCTTTGAAACTGTTTCAAGTCTCTAAAAGAACAGATTTGTTTGAACAAATATGTCTCTCTGAGCCCCCCCCCCCCAAAAAAAATAAAAATAAAGGACCACTCTAGAAAAGAACTTTGAAAACCACTGTGTATTTTTGTCTGAGGACGTAAAACACAGAACTCTGAGTTCACATTCCCCAAAGTCACGATGATGACAGCTAATGTTGGACATGAGCTGTCAAATGAAAACTCATCTGACTTTTGGCACCTCCCGCTTGCCCAACAAACAAGGACCTGACTACTACAGTCTTGCAATTGAATTTATCCATCTGGCAGAACGGTTCTGTCCTTCCATCTGTCTGTCCAGTTGTAAATCCCATTGCTTTGCCTTTGGAATGGGGGTTTCACAAAATGTGAGAAGCAGCTGTCCATCAGAAGGAACAGACCGGTGCTTCTCCTTAAATTGGCTCCATATCACTCGATTGATGAGGAGGCCAGAGAATGATCCCTTCCCCCAAAGACCCCATTAAAGCGAAACCTGGAGTTCTCGGCCATCAACACATTTGGTGCCTTGTGAGAATGATCACAGCTTATTAAAGTGAAAATAATGACTGCTCTACCTGCAGCATGAAAAATTTAACAAGGACAAAGGAAATTGCTCAAAGGTGATTTATCGATTGAGAGCAGGGCATATGGATAACACCGTCGACACTGGAAGTGAAAAAATAAACCTGATTTAATTTGAGCTTTGAGGAGACTTTTGCATCTTTGTGTGAATGCCAAGTGTCTGAAAACATGATACGATATAACAGTGAAGGGCATTATCTGTGGACCTCTTCCATCATGGCATTTCAAATACATTCAACATGTATGACCTATCTCTTAACCATTGTTTAGTTTCCATCATTTTCCCCTCCAAGTGTGCTTACAATGTCTCACACATTTTTGGATGTCAGATGATTGATTTGTTTTCCTTTTAGTTTGGGCAAAGAAGATTTTTCTGGCACCCTGGGAGTATTGAGGGGAAAGCAGGCAAGTGAAAATGTTCTCCATCAAGTGTGATTGGATTGGATTTTTGAAGATAAATTGCCAGGACAAGAGTTTATCCCGATTACATTGCCAATGGGTCCGCGTCCTGCTGCAGGCATTCTGGTCAGCTTGTTCCATTAAGAAGACGTTGACAGTGTGATCAAAAAGCAGATAAATGCAACAGGCTGCAATTTTCACAGGCCATATTTACACAAGACTGCATGAATGCAGTGTGCACAGTGCTTGTGTAGTTCTGCTTTGATGCAACCTGTGTGATGTGATGATGTGATTTTGCTGTAATGGAAACAGGGATTTTTTCATTTTACTTTCATCTCGACACATTTACCAAATGTAGTGACAATAACACTGCTTTCACGTATGCCCTACAAACATGGATTTACCTCGTTGTGAGCAACATACACAGACACTGTACATAGGACTCAGCAAAAGAGGACATTGCTGTAAATTGACTGAGACCTACTGTTAAACAAATGTCCAAATACTGTTTTAAAATACTTGACACTTACCAAGTAGTTGGTGTGCTAATGATGACCCCCCCCCCCACCAATGAACCTTAATTAAAACTGTATGTGTCTACAGGATTTGATTCTGTTTGGAAATCTATGACATGGACGTTGATGACATAAAGTAAAGCACATCTTACTTTTCCAAGAGTGGGGCTCCACAGATATGCCAAGCTGAAAATGCAGAGTCCCAAAAGGAGGAAGACAGACGCCAGAATCAGGGCCATGCGTTGGTAAATGCGGTACTTGGCCCTCTTCTCTTTGGCCCCCTCAACCTGTAATTGGTGAGAGTGACATGAGTAGTGTTTTTTTGGGAGTTTGTTTTTGGTCACTTTTTTTAGGATACCAAAGGAGGCAAAACAGATTGTGAAAAATAATGTGGGGAAAATAGTGCAAAGGCAAAACAGATAGATTTTAGATCACTATCACTGCGTAATTTGGGAGAAGGCAAAACTCTTCAAGTCAAGTAGGAAAATGACAAATGATGATGATGTGACAGACATACAAAAAGCAGCTTTGGTTGGGCCCATTTTGGTTTGTCTGTCAATGGTAAATGGGGTAAAAAAAATAAATGCCCACAATTAAATGTGAATTGGCTAAATAATATACCATTTAAAATCTGTATGCCTTCAAGCTGAAATAGGAGTCCTCTTGGGCCATTTTGGCCTAAATGATTTAAAAGACAGTTGGTGGGCACCTGTCAACCAAGCGGAATGCAGCGCTGGTGGTTGCTGAGGCAAAAACTCTGGCATGGGAGAAGTTCAATGAGTCTTTGGAGAACAACTTCTGGACAGCGTTAAGGAAATCAAGCATGCAGCATCTCAGGAGGTGGAAGAAGTGCCCCATCAGCGCTCTGTAGTTGGGTATGGGCCGCTGCTGACCTCCACTCAGGACATTGTCAGTCAGTAGGGAGAACACTCATTCCTGTGAGGAAGCAGAGTCTGCGGTGGGCTCTTAGAAGTCTTGGTTAGAGCTTGATGAGGGGATTTTGATAAGCTCTTTTATGAATGGGGAACAGAGGGTGTGCTCCAGGGTTATCATGCTCTTAAGCCTCCCTGGTAAGGTCTATCCAGCAGATCTCCAAAAGAGGGTCCATCGGACCAGCAGACCAGCTCTTCGGCCTCAGCAAGGTCCTGGGGGGGGGGGGGCATCGGAATTTCTTCCCCCAAAAATCTCAAAAAATGTACTCCGTGGACTTGAATAGGACATTGTGCTGAGTGGCTCAATGAGGGCTGTGGGGGTTACTGGACCCCCTGATACAAGCCCACTTGGTCCACATTTGACCAGTGTTTTCATTTGGTCCAAATTGCTGGCAGTAAGTCATATAGAATTTCTTGCCGCAGCTGAGGCATTGAGGGGCTCTGTTTGATGGCCTCAGTAATAAACTGCTGCTTTTTCCAGATGATGTGGTTCTTTTATTTCATAAAGCTGTGATCTTCAACTCTTCTGAATTTAATAAAACAGTGTCTTGTCGAGTGCTGCCATAAGTGGAGGATTTGAAGTATTTTGGGGTCTTTTTCACAACTGTGTGCTGTGGTCAAGAAGGAGCTGAGCCAAAAGATAAAGCTCTCATTTTACAGGTCGATTTATGCTCCTACCCACACCTGTGGTCACAAACCGTGGGTCAACCGAAAAAAAAATAACATCATGGATAAAAGTGGCTGAAAGAAGTTTGGGTTATCAATGGCTCTTCCTTAAGGCTTCCCCACACTCGAGCCATCTGCTGAGTAAAAATTCATTCAAGGCCGTAGGCTCGGCAGACAGTTCACTGTGTGTGGTTGCTGGGGACAGAAATTCCGATGGCCAATCACAATGCGTCCTTTATTGACATGATTTCAAGATGGTGGCCCCCCAGCGAAGGTGTCAGGGGCTCCATATTAGAGGATGAATCCGTTGATACATGGCCACATTATAGCTGTGTATATGACAAAACAGTTTCTTCAAAAACATCGAAAAGCACCGGCAGCCATTCCAAGAGATGGCAACAAATTTGGCCCTCTGCCAGTCTTTTCAGTTTCATTCATCAAATCGAAGGAGGCGACATCTGGCCACATATCGACCAATTTATGCTCTAATATTTAACCGCTGACAACTTTGCTGGGGGCTGGCATCTTACGTCATGTGTGTGGAGGACGTGTTTTGATTGGCCACTTGCTCTGAGCAACTCGCTCCAGTTCCACAGACTTTTTTGCTCAGTAGATAGCACCTCTGAATGGCAGCCTTCACACATTTGGTGAGAAGCTTGCTTACTGTTCGGTAAAGTTCTTAGAGCTGGCATTACGGTTTGTGGTTGAAAACCGTGATCTTTTGACGTGCATGTCGAAAACCCAGAAAGCTAAGCTAAGCAGCTGCAGTCTGGAGCTTTAACTTCACGGTATAGCAATTAAGTGACTGCATATTTTCTCTTTGTCTGGCTTCTTTTTTTTCACGTCTACAATAAAACAAGAAATGACCTTTTTGACTGTGGCATTTTACAGGATTTATCCACCATTAAAAACTCCTGATGACTAAACTACCGCCACCCTCCCTGAGCAGAGCGTAGGGACGAGGGGACGGCAACAAGTTCTGTGGAATGGTTACAATTATTAATTTCTATTTCTCCTCAAATTTAATTTTAATCTTCCCGCTGTCAGCAATTCCCTAAGCTTGACGGCACAAATTAATAAAGGCAGGCTTTTTTTTCCCATCAGGCTTTCTGTGTGGAGTAAATGAAAGCTTCTCATTTGCACTTTGTATAGTGCCTCTTCAGCTGCAGTAGACTGGACAACCTGCTGACTTCTTTTGATTACAAAAAGACACCTACTGTTGAACACAAAAGTTGAAAAGTTCTGAACTGAAGGTCTACAGTTTGTAATTTCATGAACATTTTCTGAAAAATAAATATACCTTGCACAAATCTCACACGGGAACAGTTAATGCCCTTTGGGGCGTATTCTCCTATTTGTGCTTATGTCAATATTTTAGCGCACCTTCCTTGCTCACTTTCAAGGTGGCGCCATTCTCCCGTTCAAACGTCTGGCAAATCCATCATGCATAACCTGGAAATATGTGTGCAATCACCAAAGAGTGAGGATTTGGTTAAGTCAGAGGATGGCCCTAATTTGGAAGAATATTCACGAGACGAGAATTCCGTACACATTTATTTTGAAAATATGCAACACTTTGATTGTGAAATTAACCTGAGCAGTGGATCCGGAAGTTATCTTCGCCGGTGACATGTGTGGAGCTCATCTACAAGCTGATCCAATGGCGCTGATCCTTTTTTTCACCAATTTGCCCATCATACGGCCGTTGGGAAGCCAGTGAACGTATACGGGCCAGGTGTGTCCCTGCGTCATGACCTCACATCACCATGAATCAGTCGAGTTGGCCGGTGACAGTAATCACTTGCTGTCAGCAGCTGTGAAATGACTCAAAATGTGCAATAAGATGTTTTGCCTTGAAGAGGCGTGAGACAAAAAAAGCATGCTTTCAATTTTTTTTTTTTTATTAAGGACATAGAAGAATATGCGGCTTAAGGTGGTTGTTTCATGAATTAGTTTGTATGCTTAATGTTTTATTAAGGAACAATTTGAGCGTGGTGTCGGCGGGTGGTGAAAAGAAATAAGTAACTAATTAACTATATATATATCCATCCATCCATTATCAGAGCCGCTTATCCTCACAAGAGTTGACGGCGTGCTGGAGCCGATCTCAACTGTCTTAATTAAGGCAGTAGGCAGGGGACACCCTGAACTCATTGCCATTGGTGCAGCAAGCCATACCCCAACCATGGGCTTTCTTAAAATAATATTTTGATGTTTCTGGCTATAAGAATGATTCTGGTTTTCAAAAATACGCTGCTTAATCTGAAAAAGAACCAAACAAACATATTTTTTAATTTGCTACCATGAGCTACTTCAGTGTTGTTGTTAGTTTCACAACCTTGGCAAAGCTTCGGTTACACATATTAACTGCATCAGAGCCTGAGCCAACGCTAGATACCAACTTTTTTTTTTTTTTTAAATACGAGTACTAGTTAATAAAAGAGAGAGGAGAGTAGGATCATTATCAAAATGACTATTATATATAATGAACTGTAAAAAATGTATTTCACTTTGTACTTAATAAATATGTTTCAAACTGTTTCCTACTTTAGTTTGACTGAAGTAAAGGAGGTGACTCACTACTTCTACTTCAACCATAATTCCCCCTCCCCCCAGCCCCACAAAAAAAAGTACTTTTACATACTTAGAGAATGTGAATGCTTTTGTCCATTCAAATCCAAATGTAAACAAGTACAGGTGTTTCACTGTGCTGTGCTGTACTCATCTTTTAAATGTACTGTTTAATTTGCTGTACGACCATTTTTACTGATTTGGAGAACAGTAGCAAGGGGAGCAACTTGAATATGAATAGAGTGCTCTATTTCTACGTACATTGTATGGAGCATTAATGTCTTTGCCATTAATGTATTCCACGGATGTGACGTGTCAGTGACAGTGACCATAAAACGCGAGGCACTTCAAAGTGTCCTCCAGGCCCGGAGGTGCTGGTGTGCGTACGACTCTCCTGGGGCATCTTGCATAAGCTCTGGCAACTTGAGCTGAGTAGAAATTTAACTGTCTGTCGTTCTGGAATCAAGACGGAAAGTGGGGCACGAGAGCAGAGATGCAGAAAAGGCAGCGATGGCGACCGACTGAGCGATGTGAGAGTGCGCGGCCCCCCCGCCAGCTACTGTTTTAAAGGTTTTTCAGAATAAACCAGGAGCTTTGAGGAGGATAACGTCCGCGGCCCCCCGCTGTCGGCGTGCAAAGAGCGAGCGCTTGCTCAGGGAAACAGCAGAAGCAGCAAGCAGAGGTGGCAGTTTATCACACCAAGACACACTCAAATAATTTAGTATACATTTGGGATGAAAATCAGCCGGCCCCCTAATCACTTATTCATCCTATTGATGATTTGAATCTGAAGTGAGTCACATCTTTGTTCTACGCATAAATATTAATCCAACTTCAAGGTTACTCTATTGTGCGGAAAGTCTGCAACAGGTGCAAAGAGCAGATATTTCACAGCCAAAAATCCCACCTTCCCTCCTGCTCAATAATAAGGGGAGCGGCGCAAGGATATCCTCCACATTGAGCAAAGAGTTTCAATTTTAATTAAGCGAGCCTTAAAAAAATGGAATGAAGATGGACACATTTCATTTCTGACAAAACTCAAAGCACTCAAGAGACCGTGCCACAGACATGCAGCCTTCACTTTTCTTCAAAGAGCGCACATTGTTTCTCCCTCTCTCTTTTTAATGAACTTCTACTTCCACTAACACTTTAATTTGTTTTGCAGGAATATTTCACAGGTGCTGACCTTTTCTTCACTTTAAACGTAACACAACATTTTCCTAAAACTACTCCACGAATAGCAGTTAATACCCAATGCAATAAAATTCCACAATGCTATCCACATATAAATAACAGAAAAATACTCACATCATTATAGAGAACCTGCTGGCTGCTGGACTGGCTGCTAGACTCCATGATGCAAGTCAAGGGAAGGAATGTGCTCTTGGTTGTGGGGGAAAAAAAAAATCAACCTTCTTCTGTGCAAAACAAAAGAGTCACAGCCTCATTCCTTCGCTGCAATTTGGGAGGGGAGGGAAGTTTCTTCGACGGAGTGGAATTACTGCAACATTTGTGATAGCCATTAAAAGCCAAGGCAGAAGTCTGCCGCAAACCTGCACTGCTTTCAAAGATGGAACGCCACCAATGGCCCTCTGGTGAAGGAATTACACACAACGTGGTTGAAAGAAAAGCAATATCTCATGGCAAGCACTTATTTGATATTCTTGATCCTGGGGGGCACTACTAGAATGCCCCCCCCCCCCCCACTCTGCTGGTGTCACTTTTGGTCTAACAGTGTGCAATTATAATTTATCAGAGAACCAATGTGCTTGTGTTTGTATATACTTTATACCTTACTAGTAGCATATAATTGTCCAACTAGTATGTCATGGTCATGTTATTTGTGGGCAGAAATGTCATACAGTAGAGGAAAGCAGGAGTGGGGAAAAAAAAAAAACCATCCAATCAGAGACAGTAATTCCACTAGCGTACTGCGATAATTGTACTCGTGTGTTGAATCATCATACTAGTCAGGACAAAGAGTGTAGTAGTACCTTCAGGTGGATATCAATAATATCGAATAACGTAAACCTCTGAAGGATGCTTTTCGGAGCTCTGATGCAGGCCGCGGTTAGGGGTTGATGCATCCATCTGAAAGCGGTGAGACAGAGTCTGCAATGCCTCATTGTGCCTGCCGAGCAACCCTGTACAACGGATGAGTAACAAGGTGATTCCCAAACAGTGTGCCACGGCACATTAAGTTACTATGAGAGATCAGATGTCCTGCAGGAAATTATCCATTCATTAAATGGAGATGAACATTTTTATTTATGGTACTTATTTATGTATCATGATTTTCAGTGACAATCATGATTCCAAAGCAAACCCCAGTGTGCATGTACTTCTGTCCAGCAAATCTTGTGAGACTTTCAAGTGTTTTGTTTCTTTGTTTTGTTTTTCACATCCATCACAGAGGTTACACTGTATATCTTTTTTTCCTTTTAACAAAGTTGTGATTTCAATGCAGCAATGATTTTTTTTTCTAAATGCAGTAAATATTGAACCGGTTTTAAAGGCCTTCAGGGGATGATTGAAAAAGCGATTCAAGCTCTTCAAATAACGCCAGCCTAAAAGTTTATTCATCTCTTGGCGATCTTCGTAATGTCAGCCGCTGATACCCAGTTATTTGTCTCATCCGTACTATGAGTTGTTGAAAATGCCATTGAGACTCAACAAAAGGTGCGATCACACCGTTATTGCTTTTTTGGGCACATTTTGGGTGACATTGACGATATATGATGAAGGTCATGAATGGACAGGTCTTTGCTGACATCATAGATTGTCTTGGCACCTGCTGCTTCCTGTAAATATCCTTCTCTGCTAATAACATTGTGAGAAAACAGCATTCCCACTGAGCCAAAAAAGAAAATGATGCCTCTTTATAATTATATCACATCTGGGTACATTTACTCTTATTTTCCTGTTGCTGCAATGTGGAAGATCTCTTGGTGCAAGACAATCCCCAATTTCCCAAATGGCTGCACTCCTTTCAAGAGTGGAAGACTTCAAATAGTCCTCCGGTGGATAGAAGAGAATCAGAATTAATTGCTACTTCCTCTTGTCTATATATATAGCCTGCACACTCTGACAGACACACACAACACACCGTCTTAGAGGAAAACACACACACACACACACACACACACACACACACACACATGCCCACAAAAACACATTGCTACGTTTTAAGGTTTTAATTATAGATACAAAATCAGACAGGAGCTTATGACACCTCATTCATCCTGAAAGTAAAGGGAGTGTTTAAAAGTCGGATTTATAATAAAACGGTCAACTTCTTCATTTACTTGGATCCCACTTTGACCAAGTTGACAGCATCTCTTCTAGGGGTGTTCACACGACAACTTTTACTCCGGTGTAGCACCAGTGCTGCCCCCCGTAGAGCGTTCACGCATACAAAGTTATACCGGTGTAGCCCCTGAAAACAGCTTAAACTGGAGCAAATTTAACCCTGCTCAGGAGGGGGTTTAAACATTTATTCCGGAATAAATGCTAGTTTGCAAGGCAGATAGATACAGCATTGATTTGCCTGGAGAAGTATAAACCATGGTTTTTCGATATGTCACAAACAAGGGTGGACAAGGAAGTACACGTATTGCACGGCCGCAGAAACTGCCGTGTGAACGCAAGTGGGGCTTCACCGGGGTTAACACGCTTCTCTTTAGTAAGCAGCTTTTTACGTGTGAACGCTCCACAAAATTTACACCGGCGTAAGATATAGCGCAACAAAATATGTCGGTGCAGCACCGATGCAAATGTGTGCCGTGTGAACACCCCTTCTGCAATAGGACATCTGCTCACAATTTGAGATATTTTGCCTTATCATGTCCATATTTGGGAGCAATTTAAATGACTAACATACTTTGTAACGGGGACTGGTGGTTGCATAATAAAGACATACATTAAGTAACTCGATTATCCTTTTTAATTACAAACAGCTACCCTTTGCAATGATGTGTTTATTAAGGTGAATGATTTGTGTCAACTAAAAGTGGTGTTTTACATTAGTGGTGCTTAACATTCTATTTAGAAAATGATGAAGACATACTCGGTGAGTTCTGCCAGAGGTTGACCATCATTCGGAGAAGTGGTCAAGCTGCAAACCATTTAGGAGGCTCTATTTGAGTCTATCTCGAAATTGTCAAGATCTGATTGTGACGGGACCTTCTCAGCTCTTTCCTATTGATATAAATCTTCCCAATTACTGTGACATTTTGCTTTGGTAAATCAAGTCTCTGCTCTTTCAAGATTTGTGTTGTGTCAGCAGCCGTGTTAAGCATCCTGGGACCTCTTTTCCCTTCGGAAGACTAGGCTACTAACATAATAAAACATTCATTAACTCCACAGAAAGTCTTTGTAGTAGTAATTTAATGATGAATTGTAATGCAATTACAGTATACAAATACAACCCTAAGCCAATAAACAAAAACAAAATAAAATCCATGAACTAAACCCCATAAAATAATCTTTCAACACTGTCCACTCTAATGATGAATAAGAATGGGATGCTCTCTGTCACACACACACACACACACACGACCATGTGAGTATAAAACAGTTCTTCGCAAATGGGGGGTGCGGTGCAATACCAAGGGGGGGGGGTATTAGCTCTTGCAGGGGCATGCTTACAACAATTTTATTGACAAGTGATCTTATTCATAGTCGCAGAAGAGAGGTGGGGGCAAAACAAAAAATAAGAGGAGCGCTGGTACAAAATGAAATTAACCACACATGTAATGTGCAACACACAGCTAAAACACACACGATTCGTGCATGAGTCGAAATCTCCACTTGATGCTCCAACTTGTCAAATGTCACTGATGGACCCGAATGCACAACGCCAGGAGAGCCAACGCAAAGTCCTTTGTTCACAGAAAGCCATCGGACACAATTTGAATCCGTGAATCATTTGTTCTTTCTTTCAGTTGGAAACTGAAATCCGAAAAAGGGACTTCTTTGTCTGAAATGTAACAAAAAGTAAACATTTGCCCAGTTTTTATGATTGAAATGTTTTGTTCAGAAACAAAAGGAAACCAGACCACAGGACTGCGTTTGATTCTAATCTTCACCTAGATGAGTTTACACGACCTTGAAGTTAGGTAACAAGCATGAGTTCAGATTTGTTCAGGCACATTACTGTATAACACGGACAACTTTCTGTTATGAGGAACAAGAGGTATATTTCTTCAGGAGTTATACACAAGTGCCCTAACTACTATTTTTCTGTCTGATCAATTGTTTTTAACTCATTCCAGTCCACACAAAACTCCCTGAGTGCACTCGTAGACTTAAGGCAAGCGACTTAAACAACACATTACTTTCATTCTTCTTTCAGCCATTGTGCAATGACACGTGAGGAACTGTGTATGCAGTAGTGCTCAAATGGGGAACGAGTCCCCAAAAAGTCAGTAGAGTCTTGTGCAAATAGACCAAGCAGATGGAAAATGTTCATAAACTGGTTCAGTGTTTGACTGCAGCAAAAGCACATCCTCTGCTCAGTCATCTTGCATGAATCTTATGACAACAATGGGTTATATGTCAATATAATATGTAAGTTCGACTAAAAAAAACAAAAAAAAATTAAACAAATAATTGGCAACAAAATAATCCGTCACTATTACGATTTTAGATTGCCAATTGGAAATAATAAGAACAAAGATAAACACATTCAGCTGAGTGTCCTGTCAAGCCAACAGCGGAGATACAAAAACAGGAAGTAGAAATATACATAAAACAGGAACTCTGGTCGACTCCAAATTGTCCACTTTGGCTCTATACTCATCAAGATAGCTTTGATCGGATTTTTTGCCTACAGCATTTGCTAAAAACTGTCATGAGGCCCACTGAGATGCTTTTTTTTTTTTTTTTTTTTTTAAACAAAAAGACAACAGAAGTTCTGCTCAAAGTAGTGACGGTAGTTGTTCAAGCAGATGCTGATTCCTCAAACAAAGGTATGTATTTTTCTCTCTTGCTGTGACCATCTGGAAAAAAACAAGTTCCTTTTCAGGCAGCTTCCCTGTCTGTCACTCAGAAAGAAAGAAAGAAAGAGGCCCACATATCCACACTCATTTTGAGTCCTTTACGACACAAGGGGAAACGGACACGACTCGGACAGAAAAATGACAAGATGATTTGCATGAACAAAAGGTACGTATGAATTGAGAAAACAGACACAAACCCGAGCAGGCCTGAGAATGTTTTATGTGTTTCCCACCTGCGCCCTACCTCCTCTGGGTCCATTCAGGTCAAATATGACAAGTAATCCTGTGTGATTTAATCATCCGCTTCCTGCCTCAACACCACTACACCTCCTCAGGCTTTCATTACAGAGGAAGCAGAGGTGGAGTGGAACGGGCACGACCCGAAAAGCCAGTCACCTTTACCATCTTGGTCTAGACAAAGATTTGAAACTCTCCAACTGTCATCGCTCAGGATTTTCCCCTATGCTCCGTTGAAGGCGGGGAAGGAAGCGCTTTGTGCAGGAAGTTTACACTGTGCTCTTTTTCCCACTTGACGTTTGACTCTTCACTGAAGTTGTGACACCCTGTGATGAAATACCACTTCAGAAGTACAAAGCACTCACTCAGGTTCCACAGGTAATACTCAAACTTGTCAAGAGATGCTTCGTGATGGTTCTTACGGTTGAAAAGATAATTTCAGTGCGTAAGCTGAACACTTGCCACATTTTTCTTACGTTCACCATGTTGTGATACACTGGAATCGGTACAGTTTGTGGTCACTGTAATCATCATAGGGCCCGGATGACACCGGTATAATTGCATGCATCCCACACTATTAGTTCTCACGTAAGTATAATAAGCAATGGAATCACGATTGCTAGTCACACACTCTTTTTCAGATCTTCTTCTTTTGACATTCTTCATCATTTGACCCACCACATTGGGTAAGTCTCGCTATTAAAAAAAAAAAAGTCCTACTTTGAATCCTCATGTTAACTTTCAAAGTTTACATGACATTTTTTATCTTTTACCAAATATCTTTTAATGATTAGGTTCATACGTTTAAAACCTCAGAAAGTGTGATAATAATTATGACTGAAAAAAGTGCATGTATAACATGCTTTATTTCAAGAGCACATAAAATAAAATAAAAAGAACCACCAGCCCATTGGGATATCTAGAATACCTGTTACACCCATATGCATATCACAAAAAACAAAATTGTCATCGATTGATGTAAAATTGAAAATACTTCGAGCTGTCTTAGCCAGAAAAAGAGTTTTAAGGACCACTAGTCTGTGTTGCGAGTTAGCAATTTGTTTGCTGGAGTGTGGCTGATTTGCAGCGTGTTGGCCATCACGTAGATGCTGTTTGAAGCCAAGTCTTAAAAGAAAACAGTCTTATTACATGAAGGTCTGATGTAGAGGGAAAAAAAACAAAAACAAAAAAAAACCTGGAAATCATCCCGGCTCTCCACTTGTGAAGCAGCCTTTCATTGTGGGCTGACTTTGCTAATATGGTTTAGTCAAGTGTCTAACAATTTGTAGCCCCCCAGGACAAATGAACTGATAATGGCAGTGACGGAACAAAAGACTCGGCCGCATTTTTAATATACTCCAGCATCGATTCCTACCTTTCATCACTGATGTTCAAGGCAAAGACCAGAGATGTGATGGAGAAGAATCACATCGATCCAATCAATATCAGAGGAATTTCTTCTCTGACACATCCAGAAAGTCGATGAATAGAAATGTGGATCATGCCGCTCCGCATCATGCCGCACCCGACGCTTAAACAGCCATTTCCTCACGGCTCACCTTGCCACTTGCCGGGGAGTTTTCTCAATTTCGTGCTTGGCGAGACGGATGTATTTACTTATATAATTGTATTCCCCATCCAATTTACAATGCGATTAAAAATTAATACAATTTGGGATTTGAAGAGGGGCATTCCTGTGAAAATGATCTCAACTGGAAGGGCAGAAAATTGTTCTTCCTGCTTTGCAGCATTTTTAATATCACGAAACTAGTACAAAAGCAATGAAAAAGAACAGATTTTCCTCCTCAAGTCTACCTGCTAATCGTATTTCCACAAATATGTTTCTCCAGGTAGGAGATGAAAATATTTCCCTGTGATATTATTTTCTCGGTTTCGTTAAACCCACTTTAGGCTCGTTTCGTCAAAGTGGAGTTCTCTCCTGAATGAGCACTGAGTTTCAAGTCCCCGACCTCCCATCACTGAGTGCAACGGGGTCTACAATGGAGCCAAACGTTCGTCACAGCCAGATTGTAATTACCTCTGCACCTGGCAGAAGCAAACCGATTGACTCTTCAAGATGAACGACAACATGTAAAGGCCAGTCATTAGCCACAGGCTTCGCCGGGCGGATTGGTGCAAAGAGAGGAAGAATATTTCATTTCGGGCTAAACTCATGACTCACTTGTAACGTTTCTTTTTTCTGTGGGATTTTTTTTTTTTTTTTTTATGGACACTCGCAACTTGGCACATCGCTGGTCATGAAAGACTTTCTCACTAAGAGCTGAGTACATCAACCTGTCTGCGTTGTGAACAGTTGTTGCATCATCACTAACTTCACATCAGTGTGTACAGTGTTGCTCTCATCTTCTGATTCAAAGGAGTCTTATTTTCTGACTTCATATTTTTTCCACAAACACTAACATTATATCATTGTGCTTACAGAATTCTTTTTAACCCTTTCAGGCACAGCGGTAACTACAGTGGACAGCCTATCGTGTGACCAGGTTACAGTGTGCAGGGAAGCATTAAGAAGTACTGCTTGCTCCTTTATTAAGTAAATCAATCTTAAGAAATCACAGGCCAGAATAAAAGAGTCGGTTTTGTACTGGTGAGAGACCTGTAGTCAAAAAATAAAGTACACAGAATGATTTGTGGGGAGAGGTTCTGCATGTGAGTAATTCAGAATGACCCACCTGTAGTGTTGGAAATAAAGGCATAATCAATCTAAATTGTGGCTCCCCCCTCCCCCCCTTCTCCTCATTGCACTGCAAAACAGTTTTATTATAAGGCAGTAAATAATAATACATTAAAGGCTGCGAAGAGAGGCAATTATTCATCCATTGAAAGGATCAATAATCATAGATTGCGGTATGCAAATTCAACTGTAGCCGTTTGGCCAAAAACTGTCATGCGAAGCATAATCATTTGGTTTTTTTTTCTTTCTTTCAAAGGCATATCGTTTCTGATGTCATGCTTGTTTAGCAGTTTAATTACAGTGATAGCAGTGTCAGAGAGCAGTTGCACTCGAGTTTAGTAGGATGACAGGAACCAAAATACAAACAACATTGAGAAGGGATCACAAACAATTGATAATCAAATCTAAAACGTGGCATGCTGGTCTAATTATGCCACACTAATATTGGTACAATTAGTGCGAAGCATAATTATTGACAGTGATATGTCATGGCATATTAAGGAATTCTAAGACACTCAAAAATGTATTAAACAATTGAACAATGACTGCAAATTGAATTGAAATGTAGCGCGCTCCGGTTTTACTCAACTGCTTCAAATTAAATCATTTAATATGCCCATCCTTTGTGGGCATATATACGTGCACACATTGAGTGGAGTGCTTTTAGCTCATTCCACTGCGTTTTGCCTGTTTGAATTCAAGAAAATGTACCGGTAATTATTCAAATTCGAGACGAGTGATATCTGGACAAATGGATCCGTTTGAAGCCCAAACCAGTTGGACACAGATGGCAGCACGTGTGAAACTGACTGACTAGAACACTGGAATGAATAATTAAATGACGTGCGAAATCGGGCCATGCTGAACCATCACCTGTACACCTGTTGGCTTGGAACACCAGGCAGCAAACTGTCACCATCCATTGCAGGCAGCGCAGGAATAAGTGGATGATGACATTTTTATCCAGAGTATCAAGCTGATTACACAGACAATGGAGCTGCTAACTACTGCCAGTCTGTTATCATTCAGTTTAAACAAAACACTCCGTGAGAGCGTGGATTCCAGCATGCTTCAATTGGATTAGGATGTGTCGTTTCCCTTAATCCCTGGCACAGGGCGGCTCTCCAGCGATGGTGAAGGTGAACAATTGTCAGCTAAACGGTGCCGTTAATCGCGTGGATACACAAGTTTAAACATTTTGAGAGAGCAGAGTATATATTGCATAAATACTGCAGGAATTTTTGGACGATGGAATAAATGGGTGAGTCGAAAAGAGGGAAGTGGCTTCTTAGCAACTTGGACTTGAAATTCACTGCAGACTTGCAAAACTGAAGGGCCAAAACACAATTGCTTTTATGGACGGTAAAAATGAAGAAATACACATTTTATTAAATTTGTTGAATTCTCATATTAAGCAGGCTTGGCAGCTCAAGGCCTGCATTTGTTTGAGTTTAAAAGCAGACTGGCGAATTGACTGAAACAGAACATCCTGCTGGGGTATTTTTTATTTTTTTTTATTTGACAGGCAGTTTTGCCTTGAACGGGTATTGAATCAGGCAATATGATGTCATGGAGGGAAAGCAGAGCAGTAAACAAAAAGTCACAGAGATGGATTAAGAATGTTGGCTCCGTTGATGAAGCTGCACGGAGCTGAAGGTTAAAACAGGAACAAACAACTGTGCAAAGAAAATACTTGGGACTTTTAATCTGATCTATTGAGGAGTCGTTCTGGAGGCTTGGAAAAGGGCTTCAAAGTGATCGAGCAGTCCTGCCATTGACTTGTGGAACGCCAGCCATAAATAGAGGAAAAATAATATATGCAACAGTTAAATGTAGAAAATTAGAGCATATATATATATAAAAGAGCATATTATTTACACGTTTGGTAGAACATATAGCACCATGCTGGGCATTCCGGCGGACCAAGGGTGTTTTCTTTTACAAGTCCCTGGTGCGCCTGACAATTTGGTGGCAGGAACTAGACCAAAACTTTAAACCATCTGAAAGCAAGTCTAACTTGTGGCACAGGTATTGTAGTACACATTTTGGTGGATTTGATCAAGATGCAGGCAGACAGTTTCTGAGCTCTGCGGATGTGTATGTTAGACATCATTGTATTTCAATGATGAATATGATAACAGTGTTCATATGTTATGGGGGGCGGGGGGGGGGGCACATGGATGCACATGGATGCACAATCAGGGTCTCCAAGAGTCCACTTCGGAGTCGCTAACTTGACATCACCTGCAATCGAAGATGTTCTTGCAGTTACTTATAAACATACTTTACAGGTTCCAATCTTCACTGCGCCCCTCCTAGACTGAATTTAAAGGGCATGAGTGCCTTCGGTTCACTCCCACAATGTCCTAAATGCTAAACGTTATACGCTTATTCGAAAATACCAACGGAAGGAAATCTCCACCCCTGCGCATGGCTATACTTCAGCTGGGCACAAAAATAGGGCCCAATC